AAAAAAAAAAAAAATAAAAATAAAATAAAATAAAAATAGTACTGGTAATTCTCTAGGCCCCTGTCGTACTGCCAGGGCCTCTGTAAGTAGTATAGTTTTTGTTTCACCCTTAGGGTTCGCCAATGCAATTGTACTAGAAAGACCCTAGAATTCCTGAACCCTAAACCCTACACCCTAAACCCTAAAACAAGACCCTATCCTTGGTTTAGGGTTTAGTGGTTATTTAGGGCGGATGCTTTATAGCATTATAGAATAAGGCAAGAGTCTGGTCTTTGGGGCTTAGTTGCAGAATGGCAGCAAATATGGACGCTGTGGGCTTGCCTTCATAATTAGAGTTTGGGGGGGTACGCTATATACTATAATCATAATAAGGAACCCCGAAACCCTATCCTAATTATTAAGACCCCTACATCAGCCAAGCCAACCCTAAACATTCAGGGGCGACCAGGATGCCGCAACGGGGCGTTCGGCGTAGTGGTCGGTACCGTTCGGTATGCTTTGTGTAAGAGGCAAGTTCAACTTCACCTGTCCGTAGCTATGTTGAACTTACAAGTACAGTTTGAATCAGGCTATAAGTACCCTGAACCGCTACAAGAATTCGATGCCCAAGTTCAGGGTAGCAGCCATTTGGGTTATAGGGGTTATAATCGTTTTACTATTACTGTGTATTGCTACTTTCGGTCTTCAGGGTCTAGGGTTATTTTTGTTTAGGGGTTTAGGGCTGTAGCGCAGCAGCTCCCCTTGCCGTCTTGGACCCTGACAGGGTGACTGCCCACGCCTTCTACAAAGTCCATTTGGTCTTGGGCCTTGCCGAAGCTTTTATTCTAGATAAGGGTAGCTGGAAATTAGGGTGCCTTTGTAATAGTACTGCATCCTTATGAAAAGGACCTTAACCTGGATCTTAACTTAGAGAAGTACCCATAAGTTGAAAGCCCAAGGACACCTGAGGCCCTAAACGCGAGGCATCCAGATGTACGAATGTTTCGGGTGTGCTTAGGTTGAATGGACACCTTTAGTTGATTACCTTCCCTCCATCAAAAGGTGGAGGAATCCCTGTCTTATCTAATCTAGTTACCTTTATCAGGAGCTGCAGTATGTAATGATATGGTTTCCTAGCACGGCTTCTTAACGCCCTGCGAAAGGCTGCTGATGTCGCAGACAGACCCGGGCCTTTATTCCCTGTCGCACACTGAAGACCCGTTGAATGATTGTCTAGTCACCGCTTGAAGCCGTGGCTTCAGAGCGTACATGGTTGGAGGCCAGGCGAACACCTGGAAGTCGCCTCACAGCAGAAAAAACGTTCGGGAAAAAAACAGAGCCCCTAGAGTAACCTCTATATAGAACCCTGAGAGAACTTTATAGTAACCCTGGTAGTAACCCTACAAGTCAATCAGAGAGTAGTGTGTCCAAGCTTCACCTGCTAAGCTGAACTTTTAAACCGCAACCACAGAAAACTACTAAGCCTAAACTTATCAGGTTTAGTATGGTTCCCGGTAGTGCCCATAAGCACAGGCAACATCTTACAAATAATACCTCTCACCCGCACATCCAAAGAGAGAAGTCAGCCTAGGACTGCCGCACAAGAGCTACGCACTGCCTAAAACCCTGATTTCTCTGCACCCTGCACCCTAAACCCTAAACCCTAAACCCTAAAAGGGCCGAAAGTTTAGACTGAGCCCAACCCCAGAAAAACAACCTCAGTTATGGTTGCTCTAGGGTTGAACCCACGGTTTGAGGTGAAACCCTAAACCCTATAAGCCCTAAGCTCTACACCCAAAACGGGAAACCTGAAACCCAAACTTGCAGTAGAACACTTTTCAGCTGCACAAGGCGGCGTGCTGGGCTTGCGCCAAAACCGGCTGCAACGCCGACAGCTGCCCCGATCGTGGATGCTGCCTGTCACGAGCATTTCCCGGCTGGTTAGGGTTTGGGTGAACTTTCGATTTCGGGTCTTGAATCTTGGATAGGGTTGAACTTTGGTGACTCAAGGTATCAGGCATTAAACGAACTCTGTTGTAGGAAGTGTGCGGCAAGGTTATGTGCAAAACAGCAATGCTCACATACAAGCTAGACACCGGGCAGCCAACGTTGTGCAGCTTATTCGCTAGAGGTCATCTCTGGTGCGTTTCTCTGAATTTGAGGGCCCTTTAATGTCCCCAAAGTAGTACGGCACCCTGATAAGAAAGTACCCCAAAAGGGCCCCGGATCTAGAGAACCTAAACCCTATACCGTACACCCTATACCCTACACCCTAAACCCCTAAACCCCTCAGCCCTAAACCCCTAAACCCTAAACCCCTAAACCCTAAACCCTAAACTCTAAACCCCTAAACCCCTAAGCCCTAAACCCTTCTGAAACCCTAAACCCTAAACCCCTAAAGCCCCAAACCCTAAACCCCCCCAGAACGTGGCCAGCAGATCCATGCACTCGCGAGCTCAAAAGGCATCGGCCCAGGGCCCCACGAGGCCGAACCCCTAAAACCAATAGTCTGCGGATTTCGGGTTTCGGGTTTAGGTAGTTTAGGGTTTAGGGTGTAGGGTTTAGGGTTTAGGGTGTAGGGTTTAGGGTTTAGGGTGTAGGGTTTAGGGTTTAGGGGTTCAGGGGTTCAGGGGTTAAGGGTTTAGGTAAAT